CGAGAAAAAGCGCTCGTGGAATCAGGCCTTAAGAGAAGATTTTTAACACTGCCGCGTGTATTCTAAAAGCTCACTCACACTCGATGAGTGGAGGTTCACTGAGTCTGAGCTTCCCTTGAGTGTCAATGCTGTTTTGAATAGCTGGAGGGTGAGTAGTCACAGTGTAAGGTACGACACTAAAGCCGGTTTTCCACTTGCGATTTTTTTCGCGCGAAGCGAATTTTTCATTTGTCTTTGGTCTCTCGACTGGAACCATCTGGAAAGATGTGAAAAACCGGCTTAACCCTCCAGCTAGTCAAAAACAGCAATGATACTCGAGAGAAGCTCAGATTAAATTTCCACTCATTGAGTGTGAGTGTACGGGCGTCAGACTATTAAAACTGGTCTTGTGCGAAGTCTGGTTCACCTAATGGACCATTGACATGATGCAAGTGATGTGTAAAGGCACATCAGATTATTGGAGGTTATATCGTGGTTATAGCGAAACCCACGATTAACTACATGCATGCATATATTGCACTTAGAGGTTACAATGAGGCCACAACGCTTCACTGCATGACGCGCATATCAGTTTCAATACGTCGCGCCTACGGCTGGTTGAACAAACGTCGATTATCATGGTCGAATTCTCGCTAAAATCTGTCGCTCTAAAATGGTATTTCTTTAGTGGTACAGGATCAGCAGCACTGTTCAGTGAATATTTCAATCTTTTTATGGAACAACTTGGTTTCAACCCAGGACAGATTGGATTGACAACACTGTTTGGAATACCGCATCTATTCATACCACTGTGTCTATTCTTCGGGGAGAAATTTCGAGCAAGAAAGATTGTCGCAGTATTTGGTACCTTGGCAGCATCGGTATGTTGTATGTTACCACTTTTATCCCTGGTAGTACCAGCACTACAGCCGACATGCTATAGCAAACCATACATAGCATTCAAATCTGCTAGGAAAGCGATACAACTTAGAAACGGAACAGTGCATTTGAACTATTCAAGCTATGCAGTCCGCAGCAACAAGAAGCACTTTACATCGACAAAGTCTCTTAAAGCGGCGCAACAACATATCCTCATTAATAGTTCAGCTTAGTTCGGTCGATATAACCGCCAATAACCCATCTGCCTTCATGATCCACCATACCATTTCTCATTTCCCATTGAACAACAACCCACGGAATACCTTGTCAGTGCATTCGAAGAATTCAAACCCTACTATATAGAACCCGCATAACCGACTCGAAACCACACCATTCCAAACAATATTTCACATCAACCCACACTCCATCAACACCACAAGTTACCTCGCGCCATAATGGCCAAATGTTCTCGAAATACTCGAAGGATAAAAAAACCCTTTCTGTCTCGAAGATTCACCATTCCTCAAGATTGAACAACACCTTATCTATACAACATATGCGACGGAGTTCTGTACCTTCAAACTATTCCAACAATCCAGCCAAACCCTCCTCCAAGACTCGCAATTCACAGTCTTCGCTAAGTGCTTTATTCCTAATACTGATAATCTCAAGATCTCTGACGCAGTTTTTTGATCGTATAGAACTGTCTTTAGCAAACCTAGCCACAATGACTTTCATTCAAGGAGACAAAGCGAGTTATGGCGCTTATAGCATGTGGGCCCATATAGCTATCGCTCTTTCTATCCCGTGTGTGGCTGTGCTAGCCTGGTACATTTGGATAAATATCTGTGGAGTTACCAAGTATGGGTATTTCATAGCTTTTATATGGGGAGGAATTATGCTCTTACTTTCGATGCTATCTCTTCCTTGGTTTAAGTTTGAGTACAACGAGAAAAAGACTTTCACCTGGTCTGGAGTTAAATCTGATGTTTTTAATGCGCACTACATTTTTATGTTCGCCCTTCAGTTTTATGCCTGACTGTGTGTAGCGTTTCAATTCCACTGGGAATTTTGGTACTTAGAGAGATTATCTGCAAGCCCGTTATTAATTGCTGCTGCAGGTTTAGTCAGACGGACTTCAGTAGCGATGTTTATCTTTCTATCAACTCGTGTGATACGAAAGATTGGAGAATTAAAGACTATATGTGTGGCAATGTTTCTTTATGCGTGCTCTTTCTTTGCTCTATCGTACGCAAGAATAGCTTGGTTGGTTATTGTGATTGACGTGTCTCAAGCGGTTGCTCTTGCTCTCAATTACTGTGCATTGATTGTTATTTTCTACAACGCTGCATCAAAAGTAAACTCAAGTATGATCCTCGGTAAGTGGCAACCAGCGGGTCCAGACAGTATGATGTATATCATCATACGGTCATACTTAAATGATCTATGATGTATATCATCATACGGTCATACTTAAATGATCTATGATGTATATCATCATACGGTCATACTTAAATGATCTATGATGTATATCATCATACGGTCATACTTAAATGATCTATGATGTATATCATCATACAGTCATACTTAAATGATCTATGATGTATATCATCATACAGTCACACTTAAATGATCTATGATGTATATCATCATACGCTCACACTTAAATGATCTATGATGTATATCATCATACAGTCATACTTAAATGATCTATGATGTATATCATCATACAGTCATACTTAAATGATCTATGATGTATATCATCATACAGTCATACTTAAATGATCTATGATGTATATCATCATACAGTCATACTTAAATGATCTATGATGTATATCATCATACGCTCACACTTAAATGATCTATGATGTATATCATCATACGGTCATACTTAAATGATCTATGATGTATATCATCATACGCTCACACTTAAATGATCTATGATGTATATCATCATACGCTCACACTTAAATGATCTATGATGTATATCATCATACAGTCATACTTAAATGATCTATGATGTATATCATCATACAGTCATACTTAAATGATCTATGATGTATATCATCATACAGTCATACTTAAATGATCTATGATGTATATCATCATACAGTCACACTTAAATGATCTATGATGTATATCATCATACGGTCATACTTAAATGATCTATGATGTATATCATCATACGGTCATACTTAAATGATCTATGATGTATACCATCATACGGTCATACTTAAATGATCTATGATGTATATCATCATACAGTCACACTTAAATGATCTATGATGTATATCATCATACGGTCATACTTAAATGATCTATGATGTATATCATCATACGGTCATACTTAAATGATCTATGATGTATATCATCATACGGTCATACTTAAATGATCTATGATGTATATCATCATACAGGAGTACTTTCATGTGTGGTGTATATCATCATGCAGACAAATTGATAATCTACCCCCAAACAGAATATGGGCCACTGATGTGAAAACTATGAATGGGATAAAGTATTATTTTGTATTCAATAGACCTTTCCCCTTTTGAGTAAAATTTTGATCTAGATAAGTCTGGACAATCTAGACAAGTCTGGACGGGAAATTGATAATCAGATGATCAAAACTCATTATTGTAATGCAAAATGACTGAAAAACGGTAAACTTCGCAAGGCTATATTATCCGCATTTTACAACATTTCGCAACGAAACTTCAGAATATTACTAATTTTGTGATGCTCTTTCAAGCTGTGATGAAATTTTTGTTCAGACTTGTCTAGATCGAAATTTCACTCAAAAGGGGAAAGGTCTATTAGTCAATTTAGAATATTTATGAGATGTGATTTCAAAGTCTGTCAAAATTTCTGCAAATCAAATCGCGGCGTGTTTAAATTAGCTACTTTGTCAAGCAAATGTCTTTTCCCATGTAACTTGCGGTCATACCAAAATGGCCGCCATTGGCTTCACTGATGCCACAGAGTACTTACATACAGAGGTCTCACTTCCGGTTAATTTAGCTTAAGGGATTTCTTCAGTCCGCAATGTTCTTAGCAAGTGCCCTAAAGACAGACCGCCATCCCCTGAAAACAAATTGAAAATTAATGTTCCAGGGGGGTGAATGCCTCTCTTTAAGGACATGGCGCTCTATATGTACGTATTCTGGGTCTAGTTTTTCGATTAGTAATGTGAGGTAATTTCCTTCTGAATTATTAATGATTTGAGATAATTGGCTAAACATTTTTCATGCTTTTAGGCCTACGAGAGACAGTTTACGCTGTAGCATTTGATGCCGGATCGAGTCTGATGGGAGTTCTTTTCCACATCTTGGGCACACAGCTAACATTACTCATCTATTCAATATCATCTGCTGTAGTGCTGGTTATGTTAGTTCTGTACATTCGCTTTTCCACAAGTCTGCATAAATATGAAAAAGTAGCTCAAGACAGTGACAACGATAACGAGTAGAGGGCACTTGGAGACTGAATACCTCTGCCAGCAAATTAAGTGTCATGCATAAATTATACACTGGGTTAATTACATATTCAGTTTACAAGACAAACTTTTCGTAACCTCTCAACCAATTTTCGTCAAAATTTAACCAAAATTTAACCAATTTGTCCTTGGGCAATGTCCCTTAGTCCCACAAATTTTCGTTTCAATACGTTTGATATTTTTTAACTTATCCTCAGGGCCGCCGAGAGAATTCGCTGGGCGCGGAGCAAATCTTCTCTGGGGGCCCCATGACATCATTATTCAAGCTAGACCCAAATCATTCACCTAACTAGACCTTATAGCTAGACTGCATGTGGAGCTACTGTAAGGGGCCCTCAATTTCAAAAATGATCCGACCAATTTAAAAAGAACCTACTCAATTTTAGGCTCTTGCTCTCAAATTGGGCCCTATTAAGTTGGGGGTCCGCGGCAATTTTCCCCCTGCCCCCCTATCGACGGCCCTGTTTATCAAGCTGATAGAGACACATACAAACTAAACGCGGATAAAAACACAACGTCCTGGCGGAGGTAACACAACGGCAATGTTGCATGCAATGCAGTAGAAACGTTTAACTAGTTAAAGTGCCATGACCCATCCCAAATATGATTTTTCCTATGTCATAGTCTATGAAGATACGATGGTCTGGGAAACTAAATACAAGTCATTGTGTTATGTTTTTGTCTACGTTTCATTGTATTTTCGTATAATTACGTTATCATCCAATTAATGTGCGAGAAACTATATTGGATACTGGCCTGCTAATCTTCTCATTCGTGTAAATCTTATTGAACAATATTGATAAATATGAATTGATATATTACTGTCAAATAGTCCCCCAGAATGTAGGAATTTGCCATTCCCGAGAGCTTAGTGCGGATTGAAAATATTATTGAAACGTTCTTGACCACAAGTTATAATCATAGGATATAATCCATCGGATTCTTGTAGAAGCCAAGATCAAATTCTTTTTACAACAAATGCAATTATATTATTCTAGTATTCCTAACACATCTATGTGTCAGGCAGGCATTACAAATACAGACTCGTAATAATTAAAATATCCTGCAATTCAGGACGACAGAAAGTCCCCACATTCGATATGTGTTTAATTTGGCAGATTTAAAAATCGCTTCTTATTACAAAGATTCGGGCTTTCAAAATTGGCTCATCGAATTCAAAAGGATATTCTATCCAATGCTACCCTATTGCTTTGCATAACGTGGGCCCGTGGCCTTTATATGCGGTAATTTAATTAATATAGTAATATATATATAGTAATATAGTAATATATATATATATATATATATATATATATATATATATATATATATATATATATATATATATATATATATATATATATATATATATATATGGCAATTTGACTATTTACATCCGAACAGACCGGCGTTTTGCCAGTAACGTCGATTCGACGTTATGCGTGGCAATTAACATGAATATGGACGTGGCCCCTAAGTACTAATTCATAGTTGAAAGTTGAAAATGATCATCAACGACTGCAAGCGAGTTTTCGTTTAAAGATATTTCGAAGCTCTCAAAAGCACGTCCGTCCGCCATGATCGACACTTTATATACACACTATATATATATATATATTAAAACAAAAACAACCGAAACAACATTATAGCTATAGCAAGTAAATAAGACTAAAGCCGTACAGAACCATTTACGCGATAACTGCATGCGCTTATATAAGACGCGTCTTATGTAAGTCGCGACTTATTTTGTCCCGTATAAATGGCCCTATTGTTACAACTTGTTGACAAGCTTGCTATAAGCCTGTTGCGAACACATCTTGTTGAAAAGTTGTGAGATTTTTATGTGTGTAGTTGAAGTGCCATGACCCATTCCAAAGATGATTTTTGCTTTGTCATAGTCTATGAAGACAAGATGGTCATTGTGTTATGTTGTTATCTATGTTTCATTGTATTTTCGTATAATTACGTAATCATCCAATTAATGTGCGAGGAACTGTGGGATACTGGCCTGCTAACCTTGCCATTTGTGCAAATCTTATTGAACAATTTTAATAAATATTCATTGATATTATATCATCACTGACCTGAAAAAGTTTCAGTGGCGGCGCCAGGCTTCCAAATTTGGGGGGGGGGCATTTGAGGGGCAAACTCAAATTTTGGGGGGGGGCAAGATAGAATTTTTAAAAAGGTCGCCCCCCCCAGGAAATCCGCCTCCCCCTCTCAAAACGTGGCGATATTCCTAAGAATATCGCCCCCGGGAGCGAATATCCTAGGAATATTGCCTCCACGGGGGGTGGGGCGAATACCCTAGGAATATTGCCCCTCTTTAGGACATTCGCCCCCCCCCCCATATATGCGATGTGGTTTATTCAAATAATTTCGTCTTTCATCTTATTATTGCCTTACACGTTTGAGGATTTAACTGTGCAAAACTAAAGCTTTTTTGTCTTTTTTTGAAACGTATTATTGGAGT